GAGAGAGAGAGAGAGAGAGAGAGAGAGAGAGAGAGAGAGAGAGAGAGAGACCTGGTCTTGGCGATGGTCTACAGGGTCGACATCTTCACGTACTTCGGTTGTTGCTGCTGACGTCAACAGGTTGCATGGTCAATTCGTAGGCTGGGTAGTAGCTGTGTGATTGTAGTCTGGGCGCTGAGCGCCAAGTACGAGGAATAGGAGGAAGGGCTCTGGATCATACGTTGGTGGGGGCGAGAGTATGCTCTCATTGACATTTGGATTCGGTGCTTTGGTTCTACGTTGGTGGAATATCAGTCAGTGCATATCTGCTTTCTGGACAGCGTTCGACTTCCTGGCTTTCAATGTGATTTTGCATTCCAGAATTCTGTCATTTGGCTATCGCTCATTTTCCTTGCAAAAATAAAAATGAAAATTTTAAACTCCCATTATCACCATGATAATTGTCCATTCCGCTCGCCGGCTTCATGCCGGCAGGCAGGAATCGACTTCATGGAGTGACGATTACTCTCCAGAAGGTCCCCAAATCATCAACTTCATGCAGTGCCTGTAGTAGAAGAGGGATTCGGACATTGATTCTGGTTCGGCCATTCATCATCATTATTATGATTTATTCAATTCTATTGTTTGAATAAGAGGGAAGGAGAAAAGGAGGAGTTTGGTTGGTGAGAGAAGGGGGATTATCGTTGGTCTTTGCTGGTGCACATCTTCTTCTTCTTCTTCTTCTTCTTCTTTCCCTCTCTCTCCTCTCAAGTTCATTCATTGCGTTTTGCAATTGGACGCCATTGTGCTTTTGCACTTCGAAATTCGCCAGGATCATAACACTCCAGAAGGTTCTCAAATCATCAAATTATTGTCGTTTTTAAGTTTTAACTTAGAAGGTTCCCAAATCATCAAATTATTGTCATTTTTAAGTTTTAACTAAGTTAAAAAACGACAATTATTTGATGATTTGCGAACCCTCTGGAGTGTTACGATCCTGGCGAATTTCGAAGTGCAAAAGCACTAGAGAGCACAATTCCATCCAATTTCGAGGTTTTAACTTTTTTTGTTTTGTTTGTTTGTTTGTTTTGTTTGTTTGTTTGTTTGTTTGTTTGTTTGTTTGTTTGTTTGTTTTTTAACTACTACGGTTGGTATTCAGTACAAAGTTAGTACAAACTAGCCATAGTAGTTTAAAATAATAATAATAATAATAAAAAAAAAAAAAAAAAAAAACTACAATAATTTCAAATAAGTTGAAATAACCGAAAAATAAATAAATGAAAATTCAACTACGTTAACATAGACTTCTTTACAGTTCTTTTCTTTCTGTTTTTTTTAGGGGGGGGTTCCTTCTGGACATCCGTGAAAATTGGAATTGTACACAGAATGAAAATTAGCATGGCCCCTTCTCAAGGATGACACACACGTAAATCGAGAAACGGTCCAAATTGACCAAAAACAAACAAACGAAAAAAAAAAAAGATAAGGCTTTTTAAAAGTTTTTTTTTCTGAATTCTACAGGAAGTTAGAGACAAAATTCCAACTAATTCAAGATGAGACCATCCCCACCCGGCCCCTCCTGCCCCCTCTATGTTCAGGATCATGAGACTTTGGTTAAGTTCTTGTACCCCTTGGCTATGGTTATCACCGATAGGCTGAAAGCTAAACTCCGAGATGCCAGCTGTTCGACGAGCCACCCTATAACCGGTTAGCCCTGCACCCGCAGCTGCATTTATGCACATAATAACACATACAGGTACGAAAGCAACTCACAAATATCAGAAGCGGGAGCACAATGTACCTCGATATACGAATGCGATAGCATATTAGCAAACACATTCACATCCCACCAACAGAACGATGAGTGGATCATACAAGACATCAGTGTGAAACATAGCAGCAAACACACCACACACACACACACACACACACACACACACACACACACATTCATAGCTGATTGTGTGTGTGGAGTAGGTTTCATCAACTTTCATGGCTGTCACAGACTAGTTTCTGAGACTTACTGCCATTCTTGTCAGGAGTTTGGACCCACAGACAGTCTGCTAGGAGATTGCAGGGTTGGTTGGTGTGAGTAAAGGCGACCACTTTTCTCTCTTTCTAGGTTATAGTCAAGTCTGGCACAGTCATACACTTTCCATGGAGTAGTATCTAGCGAACATAACAACATACACACACACACACACACACACACACACACACACACACACACACACACACACAGGGCATGAGTGTGTGTCAGCATGTTCGCTATACACAACTCCACAAGAAAAAGCATGGCTGTGCAAAGACTGTTACGTTGGACTTACACCGACTCATTAGGAGGTCGAACCTCGACAGGCAGTCTGCGCAGGATGCATCCCTTCCCCTGAAGGAGAGCATGGCCTGCGAGGTCCACTCCCTGGTCTGCTGCGCTCTGATAGAGAGGTCGAACTTTGGTCAAAGGCTGCACGATCTGTCACTTCCACAGTCGGAGGTGAGTTTGGACCCCTTTTCCAACTAATTGCGCTATGCGCTCGGAGGAATGTGAGCATAGCATCTCCCGCACAACTCATGACAAAAAAAAATCACCCATGACAAACACACTCTGACAAGTCCAAAGAGATGTGGCCCCTTTCCGAGAAAATCACACCTACGACAGAAGCCCTCTCAGCTTTGTGGGTCGACAAACACTCCACAAGCCAGGCCTTATTACCATTAACCTCCACGTGACACCACGAGTGCCACTACTTGAAGTACCCCAGAGTCCCGGTCCTTCATCATGTGCTGTGAAACAGCAGCCTGTGGGAACAGCAAACACTCTGTGCGCCTCCTCGGGAAGATCTCGTGTCCAAACAACTCAAATTCTGCCACAACCTGCTCAGGAGTTTGCGTCCACAAACTCCCATCCAGCCCAACATTAGAAGAACAAAAGGTCTCACAGACGACCATATGTAACCAAAACAAAACAAATCCAAAAACAGCACTTAAGGTGTGTGTGTGTGTTGTCATGTTCGCTATACACAACTCCAAAAAGCAAAGCATGACTGTGCCAGACTGTTTGACTCATCAGGAAGTGTGTGTGTGTGAGAGAGGGAGAGAGAGACTGTGAGAGAGAGAGAGAGAGAGAGAGGCTCGGGAGGGGGAAAGGGGGGACAGAGGAGGAAGTTGACAGAAAGAAAACGAGTTTAAACAACCAAAAAACGTGAACTGAATATAAAAGACTTTAAAGTTTAAACAATGCGCCCGAGATGGAAATCGAAACGAGAGAAATCTTAGTTAGAGTACACTTTTTTTGAGAACATGCTTTCCCTGCTTACCTCCAAAGGCTCCTGCTACTGCTGCAGACCCGACAGTTGTGGATGCGGCAGTTGCTGCCGCTGCAATCGATCCAGTCGTGAAGGCAGCGACTCCTGCTCCTATCGCAGGGGCAGCAAGTCCTGTAGTAGCATGCACCAGCAGAAAGTCAAAGAAAAGTCAAAGAAAAGTCGAAGGTTTAGGAAACTGGTTACTGACTGTTGAACTGTCACAACGAAGTCTATTTATTAAAATTTATTTGTTTATTTAATGAAATAAATATTTAATTTTTAATATTCAATTCGTTATTATTATTTTCATTACAATATTTATTATTTACTTAATTATTATGATCGGGTAAAGAACTCGAAAAATCATCAACTGTCTGAAATGACCAAAATGCCCCTGTCACAATGCACCTAGGCTGGACATGCAATCCGCCGGCTACCGGTAGTATGTGGATTGGTAGTACGTACTCAACGTGCTACATACATTGCAGAATCCAGATACATTCTGAAAACAGTGTGGTGATTTGGCTCTTAGAACAGGGAAAGGGTAATGGTTGCCCCTCTTTTTCTTTTATATTCAGCCTCCTGATTAATCGGTGAACCTCTGACGAACAGTTTGTCACAGCCTCTTGTTCGCTGCCCTCTTCTCCCTCTCTGCCTACGGTTTGCTGGGCAATTCAGCCTCCTGATGAGTGGGTGAAACTCCGACGAAACAGTCTGTCACAGCCTCTCATTTGCCGCCCTCTTCTCCCTCTCTTCCTACTATTTGCCGGGCAATTCAGCCTCCTGATGAGTGGCTGAAACTCCGACGAAACAGTTTGTCACAGCCCCTCGTTTGTTGTCCTCCTCTCCCTCTCTGCCTATGGTTTACCGTAGGCACTTCTGTTTGACGATATATAGATATAGATATAGATATAGAGATATAGATATAGATATAGATATATAGTCACAAAGTTATCAGAGCGCAAAAGCGAAAAAAAACAAAAGGAAACAAAAAAGATATCAATTCATTTTTTATCTTCTTCCTTACAAGACTGCCCCTGTTCAGAACCTCTAGCGTACAAGGCCGCCCACGTGGATGTAGGTTGAGCAGCGGCTGCCCCCACCCCCGTGTGTCATATCGACCCACTTGCACACAGCCAAAGGCAAAGAGGCAAAGAAAAGAGGAAGGGAACAGCCAAATACAACAAAACAGGGGGCAACAAGCAACAGCACCAACACTGTGAATCAGAGCGCGATGGCGAAAAAAGACAAAGCAAGAAAAGGAAAAGAAGTAAGGAAGGAAAGCCCCACCTGTTCATCACCTCTTACGTACAAGACCAGCCACGTGGATGACAGGTTGAGCGCTGGCTGCCCCCATCCCCGTGTGTCACAAGGACCCACTTGCACGCAGCCAAAAGGCAAAG